TCACAGGCCTATACTCTTGAAATGTGGGGATTGGGAGTCTAATCCATCTTACTTCAAGTTCGAAAGTATGTGGCTAGAGGAAGAAGGCTTCTTGGAGAAGGTCAAAATATGGTGGCAAAGTTACTCTGTTAATGGGACACCAGATTTTATTTTATACCAGAAGCTCAGATACTTGAAGAAAGAAATCTCAAATTGGAATAGAGAGGTCTTTGGCAAAATTGACACTAGAAGAAACAGGGCACTGGAGGAATTAGCTGCTATTGAGCATGCTTCAAAGAATAGAGCACAGACTCTAGAAGAGAAATCCAAAGTTCTATGTCTCAAGTTGGAATTGCAAAAGCTAGCAAAAATTGAAGACGTATCTTGGAGGCAAAAATCAAGATGCTTGTGGCTTGAGGAGGCGGACGGGAACACAAAATATTTTCAGAAAGTTGCCAATGGTCGTAGGAGGAACAATACCATCGATAAACTCAAAATAGGTGAAGTCATTGTGGATGATAAAGTTGTAATCAAAGAAGAAATTTTAAGTTTTTACCAGCAACTATACACTGAAAATGAACCTTGGAGGCCCACTGTTCGCTTTGAAAATATGGCATCCATCTCCCTGGATGAAAGAGATTGGCTGGAAAGAAATTTTGAAGAGGAGGAAATCCATGCTACCATCAAGGCTTGTGCACCTGACAAGGCTCCAGATGGCCTTTTTTTCAAAAGGCATGGGATGTAATTAAATATGAAGTAATCGGGGCCCTAAAGCACTTTCACCATAACTGTCATATGGTCAAGTCCTACAATGCTTCCTTTATTGCCCTCATTCCTAGAAAGAAAGGGGCAATAGAATTAAAAGATTACAGACCCATCAGTCTTATTGGGAGTGTGTACAAGTTAACAGCAAAGATTCTTGCGGAGAGACTTAAATCTGCAATTGGGAAGTTGGTATCAGGCTACCAAAATGCATTTGTTAAGGGTAGACAAATCTCAGATGCTGTATTGATAGCAAATGAGGTGCTGGATTGGAAGCAGAAATCAGGAGACGCAGGGTTGTTTAAACTTGACATAGAGAAAGCTTTTGACAAGCTTAATTGGGCCTATCTGTTCACAATCTTGAGAAGGATGGGATTCGGGAATAGGTGGACCAGGTGGATCAAATACAGTTTGACAACGGTAAAATACTCTGTGCTCATTAACGGAGGGCCTGTAGGTTTTTTCTCTCCTCAAAAAGGGCTAAGGCAAGGAGACCCCCTCTCTCCCTTTCTTTTCATCCTTGCTATGGAAGGCCTTGGTAAGATGCTCCAAAAAGCATGTCAGCTACAATGGATTGAAGGTTTCAAAGTAGGCAGTCCCACGGGAAACAATGTCACAGTTTCACATCTGCTTTATGCGGATGATACTCTGCTATTTTGTGGGGCAGATAGATCACAAGTTATTAAGCTAAACTTGATTTTGCACATCTTTGAAGCTGTCTGTAGACTACACACAAATATGTCAAAAAGCACTACCTATCCAGTAAACTCGGTGCAGAATCTGGTAGAGCTAGCCGGAATCATGTGCTGCAACATAGGGTCCTTTCCAACAACTTATCTTGGGCTGCCTTTAGGTGCAAATTTCAAGGGTAAAGAGATATGGTCGGGAATAATTGAGAAGTTTGAAAAAAGACTAGCAACATGGCAAATGCAGTATCTTTCTTTTGGAGGAAGAGTTACATTGATTAATAGTGTAATGGACAACATCCCTACATATCATATGTCCCTTTTCCCTATTCCAGCAAAAGTTCTCGAAAAGCTCAACAGAATGAGAAGGAATTTTCTATGGGAAGGCAACAGCAAGGATCATAACTTTCACTTGGTTAAGTGGGCAAAAGTGACACAACCTAAATCTCAAGGGGGATGTGGGTATCAAAGATCTTGCAGCTCACAATAAAAGCATGACGATGAAATGGTTATGGAGGTACGAAACTGAAGACATTGGATTGTGGAAAGAGGTGATCAAAGCTAAACATGGTGAGCTTACTCACTGGTCCACAAATGTCTCAGCAGATGCATATGGAGTTGGTCTATGGAAAAGCATCAGTAAACTTTGGCCAGATTTTGCTGGGAACGTCACATTTAGAGTTGGCAATGGATCTCACATCAAATTTTGGAAGGACATTTGGTTGGGAGACACAACTTTGGGTGAGGAATTTCCAAGTTTGCACCTCATTGCAGCTGAACCAAATTCTACCATAGCATCCAACAGATCAGACGACATTTGGGACCTAAGGTTCAGGAGAAACCTAAATGACTGGGAACTTAATGACATTTTTGCCCTCTTTGCCAAATTGCAGCCTTTCTCCTTTTCACCCCAAGAGCCTGATAGATTGAAATGGGGTAACTCAAGAAAAGGTCACTACACAGTCAAGGAAGGGTATCACAGCTTATGCTCAAGGAACTCAATGATTGACAAATGGTCATGGAAGCATATATGGAAGACAAAACTACCTACCAAAGTGATCTGTTTCAGTTGGACTGCACTACATAACTCATGCCTCTCACAGGATAATATCTCCAAAAGGAAATTCCAGCTTGTTAACCGATGCAATTTCTGCCACAAGCACACAGAAAGTGTCAACCACTTGCTACTGCACTGCCCAGCTGCCTCAGACCTCTGGAATATGTTTTGTTGCTTTTTTGGTCTTTCATGGGTCATGCCTTTCTCTGTTAGGGATGCTCTTGAAAGGTGGAGTTCACGGGATGTTGACAAAGCCATCAAGAGTATGTCGGTGATGTTCCCTGGTGTTATCTTTTGGTGTTTATGGACAGAGAGGAACAAAAGATGTTTTGATGGAATTTCAACTTCTAGAAATCTTTTGCGAGGCAGATGTCTAGTTAGCCTTTTTAGTTGGTCCAAACTGACCCCTGTAAATAATTTAGAACTCTTCTTGGATTTTGTTAGCTCTATAGCTTGGAAAGAGGCTACAAATCCTTTTTTTTGTGAGCTTAACTGATCTATCCTTGTAAAGCTTGCATCTTCTTGATGCCTTGAAATGAATCTACTTGCTTCATCAAAAAAAAAAAGGTTGTTTATGGTAGAGACCCTCCATCCATTTCTCCTTTTGTTTATGAAGAACAACTTTTGAATAGTGATGCCATGCTGAAAATTCTCAACGATAACCTTTTAAAGGCTCAAACTCGAATGAACAACAAGCTAATTCTCATCGTCGAGATGTTACCTTTCAAGTTAGAGATTCTGTCTTTCTTCGTGTTCAGCCTTACCATCAATGTTCTTTGGCTCATCATGCGAAAAATTGTCACCTCGATTTTTCAGTCCATATAAAATTGTACGACGTGCGGGACCTCTAGCATATGAACTGGAGCTTCCTGCTTCCTCCAAAGTCCATCTGATTTTTCATGTATCTTTGCTCCATTCAGCTCATGGTCAACAAGTAGTTATAGCACCCAGCCCCTCTTCCTCTTATTGAAGATTGGAACTCGCCATATCTCCTGCCAACATTCTTGCGCATCGATGGGTCAAAGAAGCTGGTGCTTCTTCTTTGGAACTGCTAGTTCAATGGGTTGACCGTCCCCTTGAAGAAGCTAGTTGGGAGAACTATGATCTCATTGCAGATCAGTTTCCTTCTTTTCACACCTTGAGGACAAGGCAACTTTTCAGGGGGGATGCACTAATACGAATGCTCCTTTACGGACTTATTCTAGAAGAAAATCTAGATAAGCATGTGGAGATAATCTATCTTAGTTTCTTTGTTTTAAAAAGATTAAAATATATAAGCAGCGGTTATCTATAATAGTTATAAGCAGAAGTTACTACCAGCAGCAGTTATCTACAGCAGTAACTGTTTCTATCTCTATCTATGAGGAGTTATTTCTATGTTTAGTATAAATATGTGTATTTAGGAGAATTCTGCAGAAGAAAAGTATTATAATTTATAATTATCTTTGTAACTGGAGATTTGTCCACTCCATATAGACATAGTTATTGGTTAATGTAGTCTTTAAGATTCTTGCACTTTATTTAACCAGTAAAGTTTTATCCTCATCTCATTTCATCTTAGTTTCTATCAAATTGTCTCATCCAAAAGCTTAAAATGTTAAGAGAGATTAATTACTCAATTACATTTTCAACAACCTCTTCATGTGCATGCCTAACTCATTTTCTTGGCCAAGAATGTGGAAATTCTTTTTTGTTAATGGATGGCAGTTAGCCTTGAATTGAGAATTTCTGTCTGCTCTCATAACATGTTTGTGTAACCATCTCATCTACAAGTTCTAGTTGTTAGAGAGATCACATTTTTCATTACTTAATTATGTCTTCAAACACTTGTATCAAATATGTACAGTACCTAGAGCTGCTACCCATTCATGAAAAGGATAGTTGGCTCAATAGGTATGCAAGCTACCAGCTTACTCATCTCAACTATTTAAATCAGCATCTAAAAATGTATATCTAGTGACATACGAAGTTAAAGTCCGTTACCGTCTTGACTCTTAACCATACCAAAATCAAAATATCTTTCTAGTGTATCTACATTTATAGTGTAAAAATACACCATACCGGAGCTACTGCAATCTCACCTCTCTCTCAGTCTCTTCCACTCATTCTTGGCCCAGTCAGTAGGAAAGCTACCACCTTTTATATAGTGAAATGTATACTTAAGTGTCAGAAACCATTTTGACCAGAGCAAACTACTGTTCCAGTATATCCACCTTCACATTAAAACAAATACCAGAATCATGGAAGCCACTTTTATACATTCATACATACACACACACACACACACACACACACACACACACACACACATATATATATATATATATATATATCATTCACACAAAAAAAGAAGAAGATAAACAAGGATCAGTGTTCATAACGCCATCTTCATTGGACCTCAAGCATAATATATGAGACTATGTGAAGTCAAGCGTGAAGAGCCTTAGGCCAGCTCTCATTTGCAGCTACTTAAAGTACCTTAAAGAATATCTTTTTAGGCAGACGGAGAAGTGTACCTCTATCCATAGACACAACCCAGTTGAAAATAAGCCAGTGTAAAGAGCAGGTATCCAGGGAAACGACAAAGCTGAACTCCAGAATGTTGACCATGTCCAGTCTGTCGGATTTAGTGCTAGAGTACCGAAAAATGAGCCTCCAATAAAGTACCACAACGTTGATATGAGAGCAACAACCAACATCTGAAGAAATAGATGTAGACATTATGTGGGAACTTAGAATGAAATCATAGTGGCCAACAAGAAGATGAAAGATAGGTAATGCACGATTCCCTAACAAACCTCATAGCCAAGGAGCGGTATAAAGTTCTCTTTACTAGTACGTCGTGATATATGCTCAGTTCGTAGCATATGAACCCCAAAAAAGAGTGCACTTAAGAAGTTTAACAAATCTCCAACCTGAAATGTTCATATATACAGGTGAACACTTTTACATGGACATAGTTTGTTAGGAAACTAACAGCCTAATAACAGCTTTTAAATAAAAAAGCTTAAAACTATTTATTTTTAGTTGAAAAATAAAATTTTAACTATTGGTAATCATATCACAAGCATATGTGGAATTGACAACTAGGGAATTCCACAAGAACTCACACATGGAGGTGAGCCACTAGATTCCAACATCACAACACCAAAAATCGACATGAGAGCTCCAAACCAGGTGCGTGCAGGAATTATGGATCCTAACATACCATCAAGCAAGGGAACCACAACAATCTGATCAGTTAACCAGGAGTCAGCAAGGAGGAACCATCGATAACAGGAGATACTTTATTATCAAATTATGAATTCAGGAAAATGCTCTTACAGTGAGCATAGAAAGAAAAGAAGCTCGTCCAGCATCAGAGGTGAGCAATCCAATTGCTTGCATAAGGTAGCCTAAGCTTACCCAAAAGCCCAACTCCATCCCTGTATTACGGGTCTGAGAATCATTCGCTCGGAGTACAAAAGGGACAAAGGGAATTGCTGCAGAAGCAAATCGTACGACATTGAAGATGCCAGGATCAACAACTCCTTCAATTTCTTTGACTACAGAAATATTACTAGCTGCAGTGTGGACAAACAAGTCAGCAACCATGAAAATGTCATTCCAAAAGGTGAAGACAGTATGCTACAACTTAGCATACAATATGCTACAACTTAGCAACGTCAGCAATATGTCCTCACCTTCTAAGATATCACTAGCATCTGAAGCTTAGAGAAGGAAGTATGTTTTGGCCTTATGGACATTCTGCCAGATCAGTAATGTTTTGGCCTTACTGCCATTCTGCAAGATCAGTTATCCAATATAACCAATATCTGATGCATGTCCGCTATTGCCTTGATAAAGTCCCCAACTTAACTAAAACTGAGGTTGAACATGTAAATCTCACCAGAGGTTACTAACAACAACATACCCCATGAAATCCCACTAAGTGGGGTCTGGGAAGGGTAGAATGTACATAGACCTTACCACTACCTCGTGGAGGTAGATAGGCAGTTTCCGAAAGACCCTAGACTCACCAGAGGCTGTTGAAATTCTATATGAAAGATCGAATAAGATTGACTATCAGATCTAACTGTTTCTCACATAAATTTTTAACTAAAATGGTTTTTCGGGAGATAGAGAACCATACAAAACCATATTAGCTATAGTTAAATTTCAAATTATATACCTAAGCGCTAAGACAAGATGAAATTCGTTTTATTTTCTTAATTTCACGAAAGGAACAACTCACTCTTGGTGATAAAGGCTTCTTCATTTGTAATCAAGAATATAGGTCAAAAAAGAATCATCCTCAACTTCCATTTCGTTTCTTTCTACAATTGCATCGTCTATCACCTTCCTTATTCTAGGTTTTTTGGTACTGCCTTCTTTTGTGGACTCCTAGGAATTCCGTATAGAGGGGAGGACATTCTTCAAGTTGAACTAACTCTAAGGGTTACTGGAAACCTATTTGCCTTCGACTGAGTACATGTTTTTGAAGTGGGCAAAACCTCTGCCTTAAGGAAAAGTGTATAACCCATAGCTACAGACAAAAGAGAGAGGCTAGGTGTCAATCAATAGAAAGAAAAGGAAATGGATCCACTTCATTTCATTGTCCTACTTTGTCGCCTATACAAAGCAATGAGAACGGACAGAAATGATTTTTTTCCATTTTTCTCCAGTCTGAGATCAATGATTTTGGTTTAATGTGATCTCGTTACTTTCAACAATTAAAGAATGTATGAAATTTCATTTTACAGCAACCTATATCTCTAGATCTCTATTCGAGAACTTCTTTAAACACTTATAAGTTCCTATCATTGACTACGATCTTTTGGAAATGTTTGTTCAGGTGAAAATGTGGAAGGGATGAGGAAAAACCTATGTTGCTCGGACTCGGGTGTGGGTATTTGAGATAGGTGCGAATCCAAGAGTCGGATTTGGCAAAATCTAAATTTTAAGATTCAGGGGTACAAATTTGTGTATGGATACGAGTACGAGAATTCGGCTAAACTTTCAACATTACAAAAATAGAGTTATAAAGATATTCTATAATTTGAGAGATATTTTGTAAAATTCAATTTTTCATTATTTCATGTCCATAAAGTGATACATAAAAGAAACAGTAGGACCAAATGTTAAAATAGAAACAATAGGCCCATTACAGGTAAAATGTCACTAGAAGTGGTTAGGCCCAAATGTTAAAATAATTTAGTTGAAACATGGAGGCCCATAAAGGGTAAACAAGACATTTCGAAAAAATCTCTATAAAACCCAAGTTTTATATTCTCTATCTAATCATACTGCCGCTACCTCTACAAAATACACCAAAACCTCAACCCTAGCTCATTCCTACTCCCTCTCTTCCAGAATACTGTCGAAGTCCATCCATTCAAGGTCACCGAGGTTTTTGAATTCTCAATCTTTTCCCAAAATTTATTCTGGACTCTTGTCAAAGTATCCAGATGGCGTTGACCAAATCTGACACGCCCCGCACCCGCATCAGAGTCACGTCGAGACGGGTTCGGCAGCAAAAAATGAGGAGTCCGTGCAGCATAGAGAAAAACTGTAAGGATGGATTGCAAAAAAGTAAAGTAATTCCTTACACTTCCATGTTGTTAAAAAGTGAATCTTAAGCCTAACTCAACCTCAAAAGCTAGCTCATGATGGGAGGATTGCCCAAAATCACATAAAGCCAGGGCTGGACATTTAGAGCGAGGACAATTTAATATAGAGGCTCAACATTGGTAAACAGGAATTGAGATGGGTCATGTTTTGATACCATGTTAAGAAATGGATTTTGGACCTAGCTCAACCTCAAAAGTGAGATCATGAGGAAAGGATTACCCAAGACCATATAAGAAGACCACCCATTCCTTTTTCAGCCAATGTGGGACTCTTCATCACATAAAAGTATTTAAAGACCTTACAGATTAGACAGGAAGTATAACATAAATCTCTTTTTTACTTCTCTTCCACCAAAACTAGCTCCCCTTTTCCCTTCTCTCTTTATGTCACAAGCTGGAAAAAGGTATGAGGTTTTTATTTTTAATTTAATTATGAGCCATAAGGCAATGGCAAGTAGGTAAGCTAATTGCCCAAGACTCATGTGATACCAAGCCATCACATAGCCAATTCGAATTTCACTAGCGCAGCTAATACTTGCTACTTATAGTAGTCCCACACGTAAAAAAGTGGATACATGGTGTACATTTAATGTTATTCTTTTAACAAGAGATTATGGTTCAACTTACCTATAATAAAAAAGAGTTAAGGTTCAATTTACCGACTAAAAAAAGAGTTAAGGTTCAATTTACCAATAAAAAAGAGTCAAGTTCAATAAAATGAATTAATTCTAATTTGTAAATATAGATGATCTACAACGAAGTTTACTCAATGAAATGAAAAATTATCCATCAATTGTATTGCAGGGTCCAAATCCCTCTTTGCAGATGATATATGATGGAAGTTCATTCTTCTTTGTATCTCCCATCTTTCTTTAGTCAATTTTATGGTATAATAGGGCTACTATTGGAACCGAAAGGGTTATCCTAAATTGAATTGCTCGGAGAAAGAGATGAAAAATGTGTGAATACACTCGCTTCCAAGCGCATAAATACACTATATTATATTTAAAAACATTATTTTTTAATTTAAAAAAAAAACTTATTTCTTCACTAACCCTCTCCCACCCCGCCCCAATTTCTCTTCTTCTCCAGCACTCTTCCCACACCTGACCCTAACTTTCTTCTCTTCTTCTTCAACAAAATCACCCACCACACCCATTCTCTTCTTTTTCTTCAAAATCACCCTCCTTACACTCTCTTTTACTTCTTCTTCTTCAATCCACTCTCCTCTTTGCAACAAATCAAACCCCGCCCCTAATTTCTTTTTTCAGACCCCATTTTTCTAATTTCTTAGTGTTTTATTTTAAAAGTTGAAACCATTGTTTGTGTTAGTTGGATTCAAAAATGAGGTATGATATGGATTAACGTAAAGGGTGATGGTGGGTATTGAATAAGTTGAAAACTCCATAGATAAGCTTGAGAAAGCTTGAAGAACAACAAATGGGTCTTATGAATTTGTGAAATTAATTCAAATTTGTGATTGGGGATCGTTGAATTTGTGTTAGTGAACTTGTAGTTGAAATTTCAAGTCAAATAAAAAAGAATTTCATCTATTTGACATGAATTTGGTGCTCAAATTGTCAGCATATATATGAAGTTTGAAGAACATGGCTATTATAAAATTTCTAGAATTTTAAAAAGTTAAATATTTGATTTTTTTATTTTTTTAATATTTAATTTCTTATGTGTCGTTGAAAATGACATGAAATTACACAGGTAAGAGGTTGGATTACATACAAGTGATTTGATGAGAAAAAGGTTTAAAATATTGTGTCTTAATGAGTTTAAGGGTTTAGTTGACAAAGTGTTGAGTAGGAGGGTTTAGAATACAAACGCATACAAGTATAAGGATCCATCAGACAATTTCGCCTAAATAAAATAATAAAAAATAAGTTTCTAAATTCTCAACAAAAAAAAGTATAAGTTTCTATGAATAATGGATGTAAACTTTCTTATGATTACTAATTGTTTACATACTGAAAGTTGTGAAATCATCATCCCAAAACATTCATATTTATTTATCATATAAAGATTAAATATAGATAAGGGAGATGTGGCAGTTCTGTATGGCCTCCAATACATTTATCTTTTTTCTTCGTTTTTGACTTTTTCTCCTTTTAAAATCAATTGTGATGTGTAGTGATAAAAAGTCACTCTTAAAATTTCATTTAAATATACTTCTCCCTCCCCTATAATTCATTGTGTGAGAAATATAGGAAAAGAGAATTATTGAATTGTTGTTGTGTCTACATTATTACATTTGAGACTCTGTTTATAGACACTAGAATACAATCCTTTACCAAGTAGGATACTATTTACAATTCCTATTTCTATTTATATTTCTATTCCTATTCTAAATAGGATTGTATAAACATATTCCTATTCTAATAAGATTGTATAAACCTATTCATATTCTAATAGGATTGTATAAACCTATTCATGTTCTAACACTCCCCCTCAAGCTAGTACATATAATTCATGTACCTAGCTTGTTACAAATGTAATTAATACGAGGACCGATGAGGGGCTTTGTGAGATATCTGCAAGTTGATCAATTGACTTCACAAAATCGATGGTCAATCTCAATGTGCTTGTCTTCTCATTAAATACTGAATTTGATGCATAATGTTAGTCAATCTCAATGTGCTTAATCTTCTCATTAAATACTAAATTTGATGCATAATGCCGATAAAATACAGAGTGATAAAATTACAGTGTTGAACTTCCCAAACCAAACTTGCAAAGACTGTTTCAGATCATAGAACAACTCACATAATCCACATACAAGGCTACTAAACTCCCCTTGAGCAACAATGTGCTCAAAATCTAGTATAAAGTATATGGATCATGTTGGAATCAATAGATGAGTCGATATTAAACAAGAAAGTCACCAAAAAATTGGTTGGAACATGCTCATACGCCGGAGTATTAGATTTGATGGCTGAAAGTGGTCATAATCTAAGAAATAAAATTATATGGGTAGGG